TCAGAACTGGCGGTCAGTTTCAGCAGCGGCTGAATCTGGACGCCAGTTCTGACTTACATACAGATTCAACTTAAGAACAAACCTACAGTCCTTATCTTGTACGTAACCCGGGGACTGCCTGTACATGTGTCTCACTGAAATTAACAGAATTACTGGTGTATAAAATTACACACATGCATGTTTACAGAATTAAATTTGTGTGTATGGTCCAAACACTTCCTCAGCTCATTTACTCCCCAATGTAAAAAATTAACCTTTAGCATCAAAAACCTAAAGGTAGAAACTACAGAGATCAGGCACATCAAATAAATTAGTTTGGCATGCTCTTATGATGGTATTAACATTCCTGCAATGTTGCATGCTGTTACCATGGTATATGGCCAGACATCTGAATGCAACAGTAGTCTGGTATCAGACTGGTGACTTAGTGGTAACCTGGTATGATCCTGGATTCTCATATGCCTACAATACTTCCAGTGCTGCTTCGCTTCTGGGTGATAATTCATGGGATTTTTTTTTCCAGAATTCCTCATTGGCTGAAGGAAGAAGTCATCTTCCTTTCCCAACCTCACTATACTTGTGGAGAGGAAACAAACTGAACATTAAAAACAAAACCCCAACACTTTAAAAATAAAAAAATTCTTTAAGCAGACACTGAACCTAAAATGTCATTATCCCACTAGTGCTTCTCTAACCCCCAAGCATCCTTGACCCTGATCCTGCAAATACTTAGCCTGTTAGTAATTCAACTGAAGTGAATGGGGTGACTCACATGCTTAAAATTAATCAAATATTTACAGGATTAGGACCTTAATCAGTAATCCTACCACTCCAGGAGTTTGTGGAGGAAGCAGGAAGCCTGATACTAGTTCTACTGCTATCACCAGAAGTTTAGTTAGTATTAATAGTTGGAACTCCACATATAGGTAAGTGAAACATCAAAACACATCATTTTCTGTAAGTTTTGCAAAAAATAGCCATTTAATGTTCTAAACCTGACATTTAATACAGTATGAATTTAACAGCAAAAAGAACCACCAGCAAGTAGCTATGCTAATCTACTTTTAGAGGTTTACTATAATTCACAGCAAATAACTGGGAATGCTTTGCCATACACTTGAAAAAATAGCTTTATATGACAAAAATGTGAAAAGCTCTAATATTTTAGTTAGCAAGCGTATATATTAAAACATCTGAAATATCCCAGGACGTGCTCTGTGTGGGTGCCCAGAGGGGAACAGAATGAGGTCCAGAGCGATCCCTCTCCCTTGCATCCCTGAATAAAGAGAAGGCACAGTTCTTGAGCTTCAAAAAGGCCCAGGCTAGCATTATTTGTGACACCAGTCAACAGGGCAAAGCCATTTTTGTACAGCATTTACCAAATAGTGCTTTGATCCACAACTGGAATTCCTGAGCACTACCACAATACAAATAAATAGCCTCACACGCCTCTGCGCAAGCCAGTGAGCTCAACAGGCAAGGTAACAGAACTGCCATTTTGGGTTGTGCCTTTCCCAAAACTGCAACAAGGAGCTAAGATTTTTACTGGAGTTATTGCTGCATAATCCCTATGATATAGGCCTCTGTTTAAAGTCATATTCTGGCCCTGAAAAACCCTAATTATACACTGTTCATGTAGTATTTACCCATAAGATTTGAATGCCTCCTTTAAGAAATTTAACATATTTTTGTTCCTCTGAATGATTGTGTAACAATATAACATTAAACATGACACCTGACTTACCTTGGAGGCTGAATAGGCTGCCATCTGTGGAGTGGGTTTGCAGCAGGATCCAGAAGAAACATTCACAATCGCACCTCTTTTCCTCTCTACCATCCCTGGCAGCACTATATGCACCATCATGTTAGCAGCAGCAATATTTACATTGACAATTTCCCATAGTTTATCCTCAGATAACCTGGTAAAATATTCTGGGTAGGCACAAAACACTCCCACACTGTTCACCAAGATCCCAATGTCTTTGTCTCTGAGGGCTTCCTTAATGGAAGAGTAAACCTCACGACCTTTGCTGAAATCTGCTACTATAATAGCAGTTTCAACGTTATATGTTTCAGCTATTTCTTTAGTTACAGTCTCCAGTTTTTCTTTGCTCCGACTGATTAAAATAATGTTGAGACCATGGCTTGCCAGTTCTTCAGCATAGGCTTGTCCAATGCCAGCTGTGCTACCTACAGTAGAAAGATAGTAAAGTGGAGATATGGCAGCTAGTATGGTGACCCCAGTTTTCTGTTTCCACTTCTTATTTCATTATGATATTGTTCCCCCTTAAGGCGATAAGAAATAAGTGATCAGCCCCAGTCTCAATAAACCATACCAGAGAGAGACTTGTCAGTTACAGTCAGTTAAAACCTCAAGCCTAACAAAGTAGTAAATAGATCTATAAGAGTCATGTATTGTTTAGAATACAAAATTAGAAGACTGAGGAAAGTCTGGTGAAAAGAAGATGTCAGAAGTGCAAATTTTACCCGGAGCCAAATCTGAGTACTTTGTGTAAGTTATTTACACAAGAGTGTCACCAAGATGCTGGGTACATATCTGCCTGTCATTCTGCTCCTCCAATAGCCATTTTTCAACTAGAAGTCTCTACTCATCTTCTTAAATGTCAACTGGCTTCTGAGTCTAACCATGCAGAACCAGAAGAGTGTCTAAGTAAAGGGGGAAAAAATGACAGACTCCAGTAATATTTAAATGAAAGGGGTTGTGTCAGATTGTAAGAGTACAACAGAAGTCAGTAGGACTCTCTAAGATCTGAAAGACTGGATCATCTGCTTAAAAGGGATGAAAAATATTGACGGGAGGATTTAACTGACAATGCTGTTATTTCAGAGTTAGTATTTACAATGAAAGGCTCTAATTCAGCTACAAAATATAATATAGATATAATAAAATATAGTACATATCATAGATAGATAAATAATTACTAAGCTCAAACAGGGGAAAAGCATATTTCAAATCAAAGTCATGTACCACTGTCTTCCAGACAAAAATACACTGTTGCTTTCTCTTACCAGTGACGATAGCCCATCTTCCATACCGCTTTACAAAATCAGCCCTGCTGACCAGCTTGGGGATGAAATGCAACCTGATCAAACTGTAAGAATTACACACAAGGGTGAAGCATTTTCTGGCCATATACCATGCTCCAACTAAAGCCAGCGCTTCCATGTAACAATTGCAGGAACGACCAATCTCCCTGTACAAGAGGTTGAAACTGTCAACGGCAGCCATGGCAATCAGAAATCTAAAAAAACCAAAAAAAACAAAAAAACCTCATGGGTGATTTATAGACAATTATAGTAGCCCCTCTGTTTAGCAAAATACAAATATTAACACTGCGCATAGCTTTAGAACAAAGAATAATCTGATCAAAATGAAAATTTCAAGTAAGGAAGGAAGCCAGGATGTCAACACAAAACTATGCAATTCTGTCTAACATTGGGAAACTCTACTGTTAAGGTCAGCAACCTGACTTTCCTTTTCCAAAAATGTAAGCCTGTTTATCATCACCTGTCCACTAGGGATGTAAGAAGTAACCGTTTACACGGTTAACCAATAAACCTGGTCTTATTGGTTACCATGAACGGTTACATGCACACTCCCACTCTGCTCCTGGGGAGCTGGCTCCCAGAGCACACCATCCCCCAGGTTGCTGCCTGCCACCCCGCACTATGGGTGAATGTAACAGTATAACTGTTGAAAATTTCAGCGGTTACATGGTCACCAAATTATCTGCTTTTTAACATCCCTACTGTCCACACAAAATTGTTTGAAGTCGACCCTACTTGAAATCCTAATCCATACTTATCTTTTCTTGGCTTCTTTATTGCAATTCTTTCCCAGTAAGCAACAACAATGAAAAAGGTTTAGAAAACCTGACACATTAGCAAAGGTAAAATATCTGCATGTTTAGTCTTGCAATAAGATGACCGACGGGAGACCTGATAACAGTCTTCAAATACTTTTTAAAGAGGATGTTGATCCATGCTCAGTGAAAGTACGGCAAGAGGGGGTTTCACCTGAAGCAAGAAAGGTTTTGGTTAGATATTTGGAAAATCTTTCTAACTATAAGGGTAGTTAAGCACAGGAGTAACCTTTCAAGGAATGTTGTAGAATCCCCATCACTGGAGGTTTTTAAGAACAAGATGGACAAATTCTTATCAAGGATGGTCTCCATTTACTTGGTTCTGCATCAGAACAGAGGACTGTACTTCATCCCATCCAGCCCTACATTTCTATGATGCTTTGTGCTCCAAATCCTATATCCAGACTGTCACTTGAGAATGATTTTGCCCATCCTAAGGCATGTTTCCACACATGGATGATACCTTACAACACCACTAATTCCCTAAGGGTATGTCTACAACAGCGAAGTTATTTCGAAATAACAGCCGTTATTCTGAAATAACTTTCCTAGCGCCTACACAGCCAAACCGCTATTTCGAAATTAAATTGAAATAGCAAAAGGCTTATTTCAAATTTGGTAAACCTCATTCCATGAGGAATAACGCCAAATTCGAAATAGCTATTACAAAGTAAGTGCTGCGTAGACACTTATTTCGAAATAGGGGGCCTCCAGCCCTTTCCAGGGAGCCCTGGTGGCCACTCCAGCCTCAACCAAGAACACTCCTCTCCCTCCCCCTTCCCTGGAGCCCTTAAAGGGGTTGACTCTGGCCACAGTGCCTGTGCCAGCTCCAAGCCTGCCAGCCCGCCCAGAGCCACTGCCCCTGACCCAGTGGCCCCAAAACATGAGCCAGTAAGCCACTGGCAGCCAGCCCTCCTCTGCTCCCCAGAAGCAGACTGCCAGCTCCCAGGAGCCTGCCAGGGCCCGGAGAAGGCAGGCTTCTTCCTGGTCCAGAGTGGAGATCACAGACCTTATTCAGGTTTGGGGGGGATGCCCCCAACATCCACGATTTCTGCACTAGACGGAGGAACGCGGCCGTCTATGGCAGGATAGGTGCCAGCCCGGCCACCCAAAGGCCCCTCCCCACCCCCAGCCTGGCCACCAAAGGCCACATGCGAACCCAGGAGCAGGTTTGCATGAAAATCAAGTTGGTCCGGTGAGACACCCAACCTTGAGCCCTGAGCTTCCCCTCCCCCTTCTTCCCCTTGCTTCCCCTTTCCAGCTCCCTCCTCCCAGGTTTCCCTCTCCCACTCTCTCTTCTCCCCTCTCCTGCCTCCTTTCCCCAGTCTCACCAGAGTTTATTTCCCGTCCCCCCCACCCCAAGTTTTGTTAAATAAAGGGAGTTTGTGTTCATGAAAACATATTTATTTAATTTGACATCAGGAAGGGGTGTTAGGGAGGGGTAAAGTGGAAGAACGTGAAGGAGGAATGGGACACAAGCCCCCAGTGTGGGGCAGTCCAGAGAGGCTCTTAGTGCTCCTCAGGGTGGAAGCACTCCCACAGGGCCCCCTCGATACTGACACATATTTATTTAATTTGACATCAGGAAGGGGTGTTAGGGAGGGGTAAAGTGGAAGAACGTGAAGGAGGAATGGGACACAAGCCCCCAGTGTGGGGCAGTCCAGAGAGGCTCTTAGTGCTCCTCAGGGTGGAAGCACTCCCACAGGGCCCCCTCGATACTGACAGCCCCCCGATGGACCTCCCGGATGGCAGCCTGCAGAAAGTGCAGCCAGGCTCGCAGCAACGCATCCACGAGAAGCACCAGAGTGCCCAGGGGTAGCTCTGGCTCCATGTTGCAGAGTGCTGTGGTATCCTGAGTGAGGGCAACCAGAACATGCAGAGACAAAATGCTTTGCTGTCTCTCATGAAGGTAGGCAAGCAAGCAGGGAAACCTGAGAACAGGCTGTCCAGGGGGGCTCCCTTTAAGCACAGTCCTCAGTTAGCCTCAGGCAGCAGCCACACAAAGTAACTCCTGACCTGATGCCCTGCCAGACCTGGTTCCGGCTGGTCTTAAATGCGATTCAGCGTCCACTCAGTGTGGACGCACTATTTCAAAATAGGAAAATGCTATTTCGAAATGCATTGTGTGTCTAGATGCGTTATTTCAAAATCACTTATTTCGAATTAACTATTTTGAAATAAGATATTTCAAAATAACGCTGTAGTATAGACATACCCTAATACAAGATCAAAACTGCAGTCCTTGCTTTGAAGACAGTCCCTGACTTTAAGTCAACCTCCCTCTAATTCTTTCGTGCCTTCTTCTGCTTATTCTGCACTTGCCTTGCCTTTCTGTCTCAGCCCCCCTGTTCTTCCTCTACCCTCAATTTCACTGCTATTTGTGCAAGATCCTTCTACTTTGCTGCTCCAACAGCCTAAAATTGTTTCCCTTTACTTATCACTTCCCTACCACTGATTTGGTTTTCCATTTCTTTTCAAATCTCAGGTGAAAAGATCTCTTTCCTCCCTCATATGTAATTTTTCATTTCCTCTCCGCTATCATTTTGTATTCAATAGACAATATCAAGTTTATTATCAAGATTTTTTCATCAACTTATATTTTCATAGTTGAACAAAAATTGAGATATTAGGCTTTATTTATATCTATTTAAATTTTTACAGTTGCAAGAAATTGTTGGGATGCCAGATAATTATTTAATGATAGCCTCTAACAAGGTCTCAAACTGTATTTTTCTTACTTTGCTTATCTTTGTATTTCAGTTATCTATGGAATTATTGTTTAGTTAGTTTGTGTGTGATGAAATTAACACTCACATTTACTGATAAAAATAATATTTCCAAGACTAAATATACAGTACAGTTGCATCATATTGTACATTTTCCACTTTTACAAGTGTTTGCAAAATGTTTTGCCTATGAACATTGCTGTTCACAGCTGCTGTGATTCCAACACGTAGAAACTAGCAAGAGATTAGAATTAGAAACAGGAATCAGAATTTCATAACAGGATAAAGAAGTTTATGGGAACTATTCCATTAATTAAAAGAGATGCACATTTGTAGGATTAATTGTTAATTATGGGCTGTATATACTGTAGCAGCGTAGATTCAGTTGTGTAAAGTACATCCCACTTGGAAGCTATAGAATTCAATGCTAGTTTTGTCATTGACTTAACATAACCATGAAGAGAAGGCTGAGATTAATATAGTTCTACTGGTTAGACACACAAAGTGAAACAAAAAAACCCAAGTGCCTAATAAACCTGTAGTTACATAAAGTACGGTATTGTGGGGATTTTTCATAAAAAAAGGACTGTCTGTACCATCTGAACTCCAATATTGGCCATTCTAGTCTGATCTGTCTGGCTGTGTCTACACTGCACCCCTTTTCCGGAAAAGGGATGCAGATGAGACAAGTCGGAATTGCAAATGAAGCGGGGGATTTAAATATTCCCTGCTTCATTTGTATAAACATGGCTGCCGCTTTTTTCCGGCTCGGGGCTTTGCTGGAGAAAAGCGCAGGTCTAGACGGGGATCTTTCGGAAAATAAAGCCTTTTCCGAAAGGTCCCTTATTCCTCTTAAAATCAGGAATAAGGGACCTTTCAGAAAAGGTTTTATTTTCCGAAAGATCCCCGTCTAGACTGACACTTTTCTCCAGCAAAGCCCCAAGCCGGAAAAAAGCGGCAGCCATGTTTATACAAATGAAGCGGGGGATATTTAAATCCCCCGCTTCATTTGCAATTCCGACTTGTCTCATCTGCATCCCTTTTCCGGAAAAGGGGTGCAGTATAGACACAGCCTCTATGTTTCTCCTCTTGCTTCTATTTGAGGATATTCTTCATTTTCTCTCCTAAATTAACATAAAATGTTCCTAGCTTTGGAATATTAAGTTACAGGCCAAATCCTCCTCCCAAAATGACAATAGTTAAGTGGAGAGCCTAGTGACCTATATATTCTCAGCATCTACAAATGTATACATACTGGCTACGTCTACACTGGCATGAATTTCCGGAAATGCTTTTAACGGAAAAGTTTTCCGTTAAAAGCATTTTCAGAAAAGCGCATCTAGATTGGCAGGACGCTTTTCCGGAAAAGCACATTTTACGGAAAAGTGTCCAGGGCCAATCTAGACGCGCTTTTCCGCAAAAAAGCCCCGATCGCCATTTTCGCGATCAGGGCTTTTTTGCGGAAAACAGAACTATGCTGTCTACACTGGTCCTTTCGGGCAAAAGTCTTTCGGAAAAAGACTTTTGCCCGAACGGGAGCAGCATAGTTTTTCCGGAAAAGCACTGATGATTTTACATTAGATCATCAGTGCTTTTCCGGAAATTCAAGCGGCCAGTGTAGACAGCTGGCAAGTTTTTCCGGAAAATCAGATGATTTTCCGGAAAAACTTGCCAGTGTAGACACAGCCACCCAGTTTATAAGGCACATTACAATCTGCTTCTTTTGGGGAAAAAAGTACTAATTGTGAAACTTAATAGGTATGTGAAAAATTATCACTGCTTTAAACTAAATTATACAACATATTTCTTATTTTACTAGATCAAACTATAGTCCATCTTGTTAGTATTTGCAGATGCATAGAATCATAGGGTTAGAAGGAACCTTAGGAGGTCATTGAATCCAACCCTCTGCTAAAAGCAGGACCAATCCCAACTAAATCATCCCAGCCGGGGCTTTGTTAAACCAAGACTTAAATCACTAAGGATGGAGATTCTACCATCTCCCTAGGTAACTCATTCCAATGCTTCACCACCCTCTTAGTGAAATTCTTTTTCCTAGTCTCTTCTATAGGCTAAATAAGCCCAAATCCCTCAGCCGCTCCTCATAAGTCCTGTGCTCTAGACCCCTAATTATTTTGTTGCCTACTGCTGGACTTTCTGCAGCGCACCCACATTCATAAAAAAGCTAACATCGCAACATAAAGGTTCACATGTTCAAAAGTCCATTTCCAATACCCAAAGTACACACACATACAACCTGGGGATTGGTAAACTCTCTAATGGCTGCAATTTGTGCACAGACTTATCTCAGACTTTGTCTACACTACCAAGCAGCGCTGTCCCTAGGGGCTGTAGGGCCTGAGACAACCCACCCTACACACCAGCTCTTGCCCCCATTGAACCCCTCTCCCTAAGCCCCCACCTCCCAAGTGCCACAAGCCGGAGGGATTACTGGAGGGCCTGGTGCCAGAAACACCCTACACTCACAGCAACCGCAGGAGTGACCTAGCTGGGAGATGGCAGAGCAGAGCAGGCTGCTTGGTTGGCTCCACTTCCTGCAGCTCTCATCCTTGAGGATGTTAGATAACAAGTAATAGAATAGTTGACTAACTCCATGAATTCTTACCGGTCAGTCAATTATTCTAGTCCCCAAGGGTGGGGCTGGCAGCCAGTGCAATCCAGCCCCACACCAGGGAGTACCCTGCCATCCCACACTGTTGCCTTAGTATCAGAGGCAACAGAGCAGGGTGCCAGGCAGGAGCTGGTCTGCAAGGGTTGCCGGTTTAAAAACCAGCTCCCCTCATGGACCAGCTGCCTGCCACTCTATGCTGCTGCCTCTGATAGGATAGGGCTACACTACAGCATTGTTTCAAAATATCTTATTTCAAAAGTTATTTCAAAATAACACATCTACACACAAAATGCATCAGCATATCCACACTGATTGGACACTGAATCACATTTAAGGCCAGCTGAAACCAGTTCCAGCAGAGCATCAGGTGAGGAGTTACTGCCTGAGGCTATCTGAGGCCTGTGCTTAAATGGACAGCCAGTTCTCAGGTTTCCCTGCTTGCTTGCCTACCTCGATAAGGGACAGCAAAGCATTTTTTTCTTTGCCTACTCTGGTAGCCCTCACTCTGGACACCACAGCACTCTGTACCATGGAGCCAGAGCTACTCCTGGGCATTCTGGTGCTTCTTCTGGACATGTTGCTGCAAGCCTGGCTGCACTTTCTGCGGGCTGCCTCGCAACATCTGCAGCAGCCCAACCCCCACGCCATTAACCGGACCGTCCTAGGGTATGTGGAGGAGCAGCTGCAGCTCCTGGATGCCAACGTGCCCTGCCACGTCTGGCATCTGGACACCAGCAGCGACTGGTGGGACCACATCATCTTGGAGCACTGGGAAGAACAATGGACCCAGAACTTTAGAATGAAGAAGGACACCTTCATGGAGCTCTGTGAGTGGCTCGCCCCTGCTCTGCAGCGAGAGGACACGCACATGAGGCCCACCATTCCCCTCCAGAAGCGTGTGGCCATCACCCTCTGGAAGCTCTCCATGCCGGATAGCTACCGATCCACGGGGAACCAGTTCGGCGTGGGGAGAGCCACCATTGGAACAGTGTTCATGCAAGTATGGCAGTCTCCGGCCACTGTGGTGGGGAGGGGTGGGTGTGAGGAGGGGATGGGCTGCCCTAGGGAAAAGAGGGGGAGGGGGTGCAAGTCCCCTCCACAGGAGGGTTTTGTTTGTCCCAGCTGCACTACAGACTGCCCACGGTGGCCAGGATTGCAGGGGGGTTTTGCGACTCTTGGTTTTGTGTCCCCCTCTGCAGGTGGTCAAGGCCATCAATCGAGTGCTGCTCTGCAAAGTCATCCGCCTCACTAATGCAGTCATCGAGGGCTTTGGCGCCCTGGGCTTCCCCAACTGTTGGGGAGGGGGGCAAGCCATGGGACACACATCCCCATCTGTGCCCCAGACTACCAGGCCTCCCTGTACATAAACTGGAAGGGATACTTCTTGGTCATCCTGCAGGCTGTGTCTGACCACCTGGGCCGCTTCCTGGACATTAACGTGGGCTGGTCTGGCAAAACACACGATGCGCGGATGAGTTACTCCTGGAAAGTGGGGGCACGGGACAGTGGCAGGGAAGGAGCACTCTCAGCCACCCTGGCACCCCTGCGACTCTTGGTTTTGTGTCCCCCTCTGCAGGTGGTCAAGGCCATCAATAGAGTGCTGCGCCGCAGAGTCATCCGCCTCACTGATGTGGACACAGTGATCGAGGGGTTTGGCGCCCTGGGGTTCCCCAACTGTGGGGAGGGCAATTGACGGGACACAAATCCCCATCTGTGCCCCAGAACACCAGGCCTCCCTGTACATAAACCGAAAGGGATACTTCATCATCCTGCATGCCGTGTCTGACCACCGGGGCCACTTGCGCAGGGGGGAGGCGTGGAAGGAGAAGGGGCTTGGGGAGGGGGAGGCACCAAGGGATAGGGTGCGGGAGAGAGAGAAATGCCAGGGGGCCAAGTGCAGACAATGAGGGAAAAGGTAGGAGGGGAAGTGTCAGAGGGAGGGGGGACAGGGTGATGCTGGGAGAGCAGAGGAGAGGGGAAGGGCATTGGGGGCTGGAGGAGGAGGTGCCGGGAGAAGGCTTGAAAGAAGGGGTGGGCATGAGAGAGGTGGGGATGGAGCAAGTTATGTGTGAGGGCACAGAGAGAGGGCAAAGGGGGCAGGGGCAGTAAGGGAAGGGGGAGGCACCAGGAGGGTGCAGAGCTAAGGGAAGGTGCAGGTGCCAGGGGATTCTTGGGTGAGGAGGAGGGGAGAGCTGGCCACAGGAAGCAGCACTGGATGGAGGAATCAGGGCAGGCTGGGGAGATTGGGGGGCCGGTGGAAGCAGGGCTGCTGGGAGGTGCGAGGTTGGGGCCAGAGAGCTGGCCAGGGAAGATGGAGGGTGGGGGAAGAGAGAAGAAGTGGCTGCCGGAAGGAGGGCTGGCAGCGGGGTTGGCCAAGGGAGATTGGGAGGAGAAGCGGGGGGGACCTGGCCAGAGGCGCAGCGGGGTGAGCAGGGAGGAGGAATGAATCTGCCTGCGGGGAGTGGGACTGACCCGGCCATATGTAGATCTTGGGACACTGCCCCTGTTCTCCCCTCCCCTCCCGCCCCTCCACAAAGCATGAGTTAGTCCGGCCCGGGGATTCTATTGTCCCCCCCACACACACACCCTCCTTGAGTAGTTGCAAACTGTCTGGCTGGTAGACACACTCATGCAGCCTGAGCACATTTACCAGCCAGGCAGTTTGAAACTACAAACTGATACATCTAGTAATAATAAAACTTACCTAATGAGAAAATACAAGACATGTTATATGTCTGGTATTTTCTCAGTTTGTTTTTTATATGTTTATATTTTTGGGCTGAAAAAAGCAATATTGGAAAAAAAAGGGTTCCAACTAAAGTAAAAAGTTTGGGAAAACCTGGTCTAACCAGCTTTCTGTCTGTCTTACAGTCCATTTATCCAATCCATATTCCCTAACTTGCGGGCAAGAATATTGTGGGTGACCATATCAAAAGCTCTGCTAAAGCTGGCACTGGGGTTTTTGGGAGGACCAGAAACAACTTATTTGAATATTCATCATTTGATTAATGAACATGCAAATATGCAAATGAACATTACCAGTCCTCCAAAAGTTCGTGAATGGATTTACTGGTCCCCGTGTCAAAAAGTTTGAGAACCCCTGATCCAGGCTATCCCTTCTTTTATACCTCAGAGGTAGCAAAAAAATGTCAGTGCAAATGGAAAGAACTAAGGGACTGAGGAAAACAATGTATAGCTTACTTAAACCAGGAAATGCTAGTTTTAAAACAATCTGATCCTCAACAGATCTAAAAATGCCCCTTTAATCTAATGTGTGAGAGATAATGAAAATGAGTAGTAGGAAGAAACAAAAGGAGAAATTAGAGAGGATATGGAGGACAAGAGAAGTGAAGTTATGATGAAATGACATTGGAGATGTATTAAAAAAAAATTAAGTGCTCACAAATCCTTAATTCTCTTTTAAAAAGTGGGTGGTTCTCTTTCTCTCTCAGCAGTTTGATATATTTTAACAATTACCTCCTAAGTAAATATATCCAGGATAAACTGGTTCTATTTTATCTTTATCACTGTAAATTGTAACAGTTGTCATCAGTCCTTATCTATATACAAGACACTATTGCTTACAATTAGGTTTCATGATATTACTCTATAGAAAACAGAAACAAAGTCACTGGCTCAAGGAACTCACAAATTATACAAACATAAAATAATAAATCAGATAGAAAATATGAAAGACTGGGGCATGGACTCAGCACAGTGCAGGATTTACGTAAATAATATAAAAGTACAGAAACTGATTTTACATCTAGAAATACGACAGCTAGATACTCACACATCCATAGCTTAAAGCAATATCACAGAAGTACTGGGATTCTCATCATTTCCTGGAATTTCATTAGTTCTTCAATATTTTATGGCTGCCTGAATTTGCTTAAATGCAACCGTGGCTTTGAAAGGGGGTGTGGAGGCATTTTTAATCCTTGAGATAAAAAGCAACATGTCTTACTTAGCATTACAGGCTGAATTTACTACTTGGGATGCTTCTACAGCTGTATTAGCTATTACGTGTAATGCAGCAGAGACTAATGTACTGCTCTTTAGTCGGCAAACAGGAGTGTCATAACCCATGATCCCTCTAATTTTTTCCATCCATGAGCAGAATTAATTTTTTTATGTGCACTGAGGCATATGAGGATGTGTACCACCAACATAAATACATTCTGCTGCCTGTGGGTGCTCTGGTCATCAGAAAGGCAGTATCTGAATCTCTCCTGGGTGGCCATCCAAACACTCAGGTTACAGGGAACACTGGTCATAACTACTATAAATAACGCAATTTACTTCCAGATTGATGCATACAAAGTTTATTCCCTGAATGCACACATTCTTCTGCCCTACGAATTCAGTAAAGTACCATCATATTTTGAGAAACAAAAAGCTTCTTGGAAAATAGCCTAGGGCAGTCAATGCTACACACTCTTTGTAGATCAGATAATCTTGTTTCAAATTGGCTATTTCCCTCCTCTTCCACCACTCCAGTTGCTACTTGTACCCCCATGTTTTTTGCCTGCACAGCCTTCAATCCCCACAATTCTTAATTTTATCTTGTAGCGCATTTGAAGCCTTGGGTGCATATATTACATCCCAAAATTATGCTTGTTTCCTTTGCTACGTTAAGATATTGTACAGACATTTAATGTACCATTGACAAACACCTCCCAGTATTTCTCTTGGCTTCTCTGTTTTATTCTTCCTTACAGCTATTGGCTAATTCTGCTCAAGGCCTTTGCTGGCATCAGTAGATGGAGATTTCTGGCTATGGGACTGCAGGTGGGTGGCATTAGTTGAAGAGGATGCGGGACAAGAGCAACTAGGAGATGTGTTGATTCAGTGCATCCCACATCAGCAGACTTCCTGACATAAGTCACAGAATCATAGTACTGTAAGGAACCTTGAGAGGTCATCAAGTCCAGTCCCCTGCACTCTTGGCAACACCAAGCACCATCTAGATCGGGATGGGGAACCTCAGGCCGAAGGGGCTGAATATGGCCCCCACCTTGCCTGGATTCAGCCCCCTAGGCTTATGGCCCCTGCCCCCCTCCAGGATTGGGGAGTCTGCACTGGTGCTCTAGCCCTCCCCTACACATACACACTGCTGGGCTGGAACACACAAAATCTACTAGGCTGGGCCCTCTAGGCTCTGGTGTGTGAGGGGAATATGGGGAGTGTCTTTCTCCTTCTTAGTTGGGAGCTATGCTAGTGTGGAGTTTGTTTTTGTTTTTTGGCTTCACACTTGGGTGAGGCCCCTAACTGATTTTTACGTGGGTCAGCAGCCCCCAACCCAAAAAAGGTTCCTCAAACCTGATCTAGATCATCTCTGACAGATGTTTGTCTAGCCTGTTCTTAAAAATCTCTATTAATGGAGATTCCACAATCTCTCTAGGCAATTTATTCCAAGGCTGCCTTCTTCCAGTGTTAACTGTGCAGTCCTGTTCTCTGTTTGAATCACCCCTTCCTCTCTCCCTGTTAATCACATCAGGAATGAATCTGACCATATGCCTGGTATTGGTTCTCTCATCAATCACTCAATTTACACTGAAATTAGCACACAATTTGTCAGGAATATTAGTTTATCTGCTTTTACGTATTCACTTGTGTAAGTCAAGACCATTTACATACAAGGAAACCAAAGTGAGAGTGTCAGTTACCCACAAAGTATCTCCCTTTTCACCCTGAATGATTTCCCTTTACTGACTCTGTTCTCTCTCTTGGCTTTTTCTCATATCAATATTTTTCTAGTCTAAGCATTCTGACCCTGTTAATTTCGTACCTTACAGAATTTGTACCCATAAATTATTTTAAAAACAAACAACCACTAAGCTTCCTATCAATAATTTATTCCAAAAAGCAAGAGGCTGATTGTAAGTAGCATAAGCATATTTGTTTTACTTTAATAGAGTTTTTTTTCTTACCCAGGAAGTCCAGACCTTACAACAGAATACAAATCAAGAAATCCATGAATTTTACGTACCCTATGAAAAATTGGTCCAAGGTTTCTGGTTATACTTTTGAAGGTATTTTCTATTAAATAATAAATCAAGAAGCAAATCCTCTCCTTGCTCCTATTTACTGTATTGCTTTAAGAGCTTCAGCCCGTGCAGCTTCAAGTTCAGAGTAAAACCTGGATAGTGGATTCACACACTGCCTGGCCAATGTATCAAGAACATCACTGGCAAACTACAGGTCATAAAGATGCAAAATCCAAGTTTGTGGATGCTCAGCTTTTAAAGAGGAGCAGCAGATCTGACATTTCTAGGTCCTGCATATGTTATAAAAAAAAGTTAAGTTGCAAAATTATATTTGCAGTGTAACCAATGTACAATACACTGACATTACTTGAAGTTTCTAAGGCCAGACATAGTTCAATAAATATTCTCCCCATCCTGGTTTCTTTTGGGGGAAAACAGTGTTTATATTATCATTCATGTAGATACCTTAAAAGGACATGGATATAAAAATGATTAGTCCATGACAGAATGAGTCAGTTGCATAGTAACACTGGAGCATATCCATCCCTACTGAAAGCAAGAGAAATTTCAGAGACTTGAGTTGACTCAACTTAAACTTTCAGCCAATCTAAATTTGGTCCATTTTATTTTTTCCCCAAAGAAGAAACAAAATGCTGGGTTTGATTTGGTTTTTCTAACAAGGGAGATGAAGTTTGAGAGTGTTACAACACTAGGGACAAACTGGGAGAATGTTTAAACAAAGACATTAATTATCTTACCCATTACAAAGATAGCTTCCCCAATTATCACCTCTAATATCATTAGCTCACAGACATTTACCCCCCACCCCATCCTCCTCCTGTTCTGAAATTTGATTTGTCCTTTTCATATGTGTTCATTTTTTTTGATTGTATCCTTTGGTATATGTGGTTGTGACAATTTTCTTCCACTATTTGATTTGAGGAAGTGGGTCTGGCCCACGAAAGCTCATCATGTAATAAACCATCTTGTTAGTCTTTAAAGTGCTACATAGTCCTGTTTTTCCTTTCTCTGTGGTGATTCAAAAGGGCAGCCCTGGAGCCTGGAGTCAGCTGGGGACTCCCTGGCTGACCCCGGGCTCCCCGTGGCATTTCCCCAGAACCCAGGTTCAGATGAGGAGTCCCCAGCTGATCACGGATTCCACTTGGTACTTCCCTGGAACCCAGGGTCAGCTGTGTGGCAGCTTCCCCTTTGAAACTGATACCTTGGCCTGTTGTAAAGGGGCAGTGGAGTCTGAGGTCAGCTGATCCTGGGCTCCACAACTGCCCCTTTGAAAGGCACACAGGCAGCATTTTAAAGGGGCAGCCGACGCATCTCTGATCCGCACATCTGGTCCATGGCGCTGACACTTTGAAGTTCCCCTTTACTCCCCTCCCCCTTTGTTGCCTCTATTTTATATCGATTAGTCAAAATACTATCCGATAAGCATATGCTTATTGGAAAGTCGACTAGTCTTTCACATCCTTAAATCAGGATTGGTTGGTAAACTCGGCAAAAGTAAACAGCATGCATTTAAATGTGGCCAAATGTAAAGTCATGAATCTAGGAAGAAAGAAGAACACTCTCCCAGGAGTGAGAGACTCAAGGCATGTAATCCATTTTGTTTAGGAAGATTAAGGGTTGACTTGATCACAGTATATATTTATGGCCCTATCAAATTCATAGCCATGAAAACCATGTCAGACCATGGAATCTGGTCTTTCGCATGCTTTTGTCCTACATTATACAGATTTCATGGGGGACCCCAGGATTGCACAAATGGGGGCTCTGGACTGCAGCCCATAAAGCCCCTTTCTTTAATCTCCAACACAACCTGGAGGGAGTTGCCAAGGATGGAGAGAGGAGTCTCTGCCCCCAGCCACAACAGCTCTCTGTGCAGCAAGCCCTGAGCCCCAGCACAGGGCATATTAGGCAGCTATGCAACCCCACATATTAGAGAGAACTTTAAACATAACCATAAACTGTAAGGGTGGCACCCAGGTTAGCACTACTGGTACAATTAAGGGGAGAGGAAAAAAAAAAACTTTCCTGGAGTAGTGTCATGCATATGCTTGCTTGCAAACCCCAATAAATATCACCATGGAGCCTGACCTGCTTTCTGTCTGTCTGTGGGACAAGGACTCACTAACAGAGCTCTTCAACCATGCAGAGCCACTAACCAGAACCTGAAACTACCCAAGTTAAATCTGAAGACAAGGCGTAAATTGTTTAGCTGGGTAAGGACTATTGCAATTTACCAAGGATCGCGGTGAATTCTCCAACCCTGGCAACTTTTTACGCCACGGTTGGATGTTTTGCTGAATAGTCTCTCTCATTCCCGCAGGAATAAGTTCAGGGAAGGCCACGGCCTGCGTCACGAAGAGGTCAGACAACAAGGCCACGGCGAAATCCCTTCCGGCTTTGTTCGTGTATGAAACCCACCTCCTCCTGGCCTGGCACTGCCCGGACAGACCGCGCAT